CTGCTGACTCTGTGCCTGTGCTGCATTGACTCTGGAAGTACAAGAGCTCTCACAGATGGCCCCAACCCTAGCAGGTTGCCAGTAACAAGAGGGAGCCACGAAGCACACATGGCAAAGCATGTCAGCTTGCTAGGCAGCACATGCAGCAGACCACACTGCCAAGTCACAGCAAAACACGGGCAGAAGCACAACAAAAAGCTCTCCTGGCTCCTATCTCTCCCTCACTTTGATGCTCACCTCCACCCTGAACTTGTCCTTGATGGATGCTGTGCCTCTTGATGACAGTAGGAGCATAATTTGAACACTTGCATTGACCTGTGCTCTACCTTAGGAAAGGTAAAAAACCTGCTTTCTGAAGTTCCCTGTTCTTCTGCAGCAGAGATTAAAGTCCAACATGTTTAAGCTTCACGCAGCATCCTCCTCCACTGCAGTAGAAAGGACTGGCCAGGAAAGGTGTAACATGGGGGCCACAGCAGCCTTTCCCCATTGTTGTCTCCCTCCCTCAAGCTTAGCCCTGTGGTATAGGTGAACAATTCCCTTGTTGTTTCCCACTAGGAGAGCTACTCACGTGGCCATGCTGATCCAGCTCGTTGTTGGTGAGTTTGACTTTTTCGAAGGACACCATCTGCTTCAGCAGTTGCTCTCCCGTGAACGGGGAATCAGGGTGCACATACAACCTAAAAGACACAAGGAAAAGGCCTGCTCATAAGAAAAAAAATCTCACCTCTTGGCTTGTACGTGGGCACCACCTCCATATGAAATTAAACCGCCCACACATTAGCTTGCTCTGGGGATATGTGGTGGTTTCATGGATGTGGACTTCCTGAGAGCTTAGGGTAATACAGAGCTGCTACTCGAACAAGACACACACAATCTCCCCTTGAATTAATGAATGCCTGAAATAGGACCATTAATGACAGACAGTAAAGCAAATTACTTGACTTGTTAAATTCAGTGGAACATAATGAAGAATCCCATGTCCAAGTGCTAGATTGCCCTCTAACCATACCTATAATTTCATCTAGTTATCTAAAATGGAGACATTAACTAACATTTACAGTTGTGTCTTTTCCCAAATGAAAAATTGATCATGTCTTTCCCACAGCTGTACTAACAAGCACTTAAAATAACAATGACTACAACTCCGAGAGAAAAAACATAGTGTCATTAGAGAGATAATGGGGGAATGTAGATAAAAATGCATTTTTCTTTATATGGAACATTAAGCCGTGATAATGATTTTAACCTGCACTCGATCACACGTTAGCTACGGTGACGTCTGTTTATAAGAGGCTGAAGGCTGCAGTCCAGCACAGTGGTCTGACATGAAAAAATGAATTGCAGTTCTGTAATTAACAATCCAGCCCTTGGGAAATTACATAGAAGAAAGGAGGCATAGAAGACATGTAGATACAATGATATATATATACACCATGAATAGACTAATTACAAGTGCCAGGGTATTTACAAATAATGATTTTATGGGAATAACGTATTGCTGAAGATTATTTAACTCAAATGTTCTTCTCTGACAGTGAATTAAGAGCTGAACTAGACCTTCAGCTAGCACAAACCAGACAGTGTTGGTTATCACTGCTGAGAGCCTGACTCTCATTTTGGGTGATGTCTTTGGCCACACAGATGGATTTCTTTCATTAGGAGGGTGGGGCAGAGCTGAGATGCCAGGTTAGAAAGAGAAACATTTGTTGTTGTTCTTGAGCTACGATTTTAGTTGGGCAAGAGGAGAATGGAAAAACCACTAAACAATGAGGCGTAACTTATGCTGATCCCTAATCAAGGAATGCCCATACTAAAGACTCGGGGGAGAGCCAGCTCTGTTGCTCAAAAAGGAAGATTTGATCCTGCCCTCTCCATTTTTGCCAGCAGAATCCTCAAGACACAGTAAAACTAAAGTTTCACTGTCACAGCTCACTTCAGGATGTTTTTGTTATATTGATCTGAAGCACAGCTTGGCTGGTATAGCTATATCCACAGGAGGGATGCTGAGCCAGGGTTCCTCTTGCAATAAAATATTCCTGGCATACAAGCATCCTCACTGCTACCAGCTCTTACAACTACACTGCAAGGCTCATGTAAAATGATGATGCACTTGAAAAGCAGAGACCTGGAATCCTGTTATGTCAAAATAATTTTACCTCTCATGAAAATTAACTGTGCCTTCCTGTAAAAAAAAACATGTGAAAATCTCAATCTTTAAAGCCCTGAATTACAGAAGTCAAAGCAAAGAGTCCCAAATATGTCCAGCAGCTTTTGAGGCAGTCTTGTGATATATTTTTTTTAATTATTTTTTTTAAATATTTTTTTTTTAGCCTGACTTCTGATGCCTGGGTAGCTAATAGTGTTTACTGTGATCACAGAGTGTCAGGCTCAGCAAGGTTTGACTAATTGGGACCAAAAAGCCAAACTATTTCAAATATGTGCTGGGGAATGAGTACAGATCTTCATGTGTCTAAAAGCTGAGCACAATTGTTTTACACCATAAGCAATTAATGCTTGGCACTACTTTGAAACCACAAAGTGCCTAGATGTTAGTGGAGCACTAACAGGAAAGGCACTGAAGGATGGGCACCTAAATATTGGCTGTGTAAATGTATTAATAGATCTTGCTTTTCTCTGCTGATTTGCTACACACCCTTAAACCCACTGCAACACATGGTTCCACCTGGTGAACTGCTCCTATCTTCACACTTCTCCTACAGCCTGAGCTTGTACACCTTGAAGAGGAGGGTTGAAAGCAAGACATATCACCCTCTGAAGTAGAAGTTGAGGAGACAGTGAGTGTGCATGAGCAGATGGGTTAGAGAAATAAACGTGCACATTCCAAGGCAGTACACGAGGCTCCCCCAGAAGTTCACACAGAATCTGCTGCCTCAGACTGGCCAGATGCAAGGGGCTGCTCTCTTCAGTTCACAAAGACTTTAGGAGCCATATTTGGATGTGAATTTGCTCCACAGTATATGTTTCATGATATATGCAAGGTTTGAGTACTGCTTCCTTCTTTCATATTTTGGAATGTGACACCACTCTCCCTCTATTTAGCTTAAGAGTTGGTCTGGTCTTTCAAGCTCTGTGTGTGCTGCTTTTAGTTACCTTCCTGTCTCAAATAATTTGCAAAACATAATACCTTTTAAAGCTTTTCTACCTAGAGTTCTCTGTGTGTGAACACTGTCACTTTATTAAAGGATTGTGGCCAAACAGTAAAAATAAAGGCAGACTTTTGAGTGAAAGAAAGGAGGTGAAAAGGGAAGATAAGCTAATAAAGGTACATGCTGAAACTTATTGAAATTATGTTTCACACAGTCTTAGCAATTTGGAAGAACAAACATAAAATATCCCGTAGGAAATCTATCCCGACATAGCCCTTTAGAAGACTTACAAATGACTCTCTGAAAAGTACTTTTATTTAAGTCGTTGTTGCAACATAAACTCGTCTTAAACGCTGACAGCAGGAAGCCAGGGATAAAACAGGGTTTTGTAGAAAGTTCCCTGGAGGACTAATCTTTTAGACAGAATCACAGAATGCTTCCTGGTTTTTTTTTATAAAAGTTTTCTTAGCATTCCGAGCAATTTTTATAATGGAAAGAGCGAAATAACTAACGGGTTCGGTCCCGCAAAGTCTTACACCCGTGTGAAACATGACTCCTGAACAGTTCTCCCCCTCCTCCCAGCCCCGATGCCCTTGTGGAGACGGAGATGCCGGCAGTGATGTGAGCGGGGAATTAGCACCTTGGTACCAGCGCCCAGAGCTAAGCACACACACACTCCTCGTTGACACTCCTCAAGTGGGGAAAGCTCAAACAGTGTGTGGAGGACAGGGCTTCTGTTGCTGGAGCAAGACTAAGCCCATACCAAGTTGGGAGGAGTACTATTTTTAATCTGGTTGAGCAAGACTGAGGCCTCCCATCTCAAAAGATGCATTAGCACTCCAGAAAAAGCATGCAAACGTTGGCATGCTGGACCTGTCGGCACCCTTCTTCTCACAAAACAGGGGCATAAGAAGGAGAAAGTGCATATGGTGTATGGAAGTACCATTCGTATACAGAAAAAGTAACCTATGCTATGATCCATGATCTTTTGGCTGAGCACCCTGAAAACGAAGCAGGAAAGGTACATGCTTGCACACTGCTCAGGAGCACTGATCTAATGGGGACCTTAAAGAGCTACCACAGTATTATGATAATAAATATTAAACTCCAAGAAGGTTTGAACCATAACAGGTCCATAACAGTCAGCAGAGTCAATCTCTTGTCCTATACACTTGTGAGTATTTACTCATTGAACTAGTCTGTGCCAAATAGTGTGAATTAGACATCTATTTAAAGGTATCCCAAAAGCCACTTCAAAAGAAAAATAAGGGGAGAACCCTGCCTTAAAACTATTTTTGTCTTTCTCTTATTTCCTCTTTTGATGCTGACTCTTTTAGAGCATGATCTGTGTTTTTTCTTTGGGTTTTGATCAGTGCCCATTACAATACGTCAAATGAAGCCCTCAGACGTTAACCACATTGCAAGAAGGAGTTTTTGGCCATGAAAACAAAGCCAACATAAATCCTAGGTTGCCATCTCTAATCACAGCTTCTCTGCATGCACTTTTTGTTTGTTTACTTCCCTGAGCTGCCTTCCAGAGATCAGCAGTCAGCACCATTTCAGTCAAACTATTTATATGAGGAAAGTGTGCAGGATTTGGTCCCTGTACTCACACACACACACACACACAAAGTGCTTCCATTTCTTCTGTTTCACTTCTAATTTCTGTCTCTGTAATAAGCAAGCTCTTAACCCCAGGCTAAGCCACCTGGAGCGGATCTGTGTGCCTGCACAGATCCCTCCACAAAAAGTTCCTTTGAAGCCAGAGAGGCATCCACGTTATTTCCATATCTCCAGCTCTGACTCAGCAAAGCCATTCGACATGTGCTTCAGTCTAACTGGATTTGGGGACTTACTAAAGTGCTGGGCTGCTGCAGAGCCCTCCTACTCTACAGCCTAATGCTGCAGCCTCAGTTTCCTAATGCTGAAAGGAGCCAATCGTTAATTACATTAACAGAATTATCTTAGAAATTTATTTTTTACAGCATATTGTTTCTGTACAGAAGAGGGAGGGAATTTACTGGGTGTTCCCCTAATGTCTCAGAACAAGAGACATCCCATGATTGGGAAAAAAAATAATAATAATAATAATAATTAAAAAAATAAATCTCTGTGCTGTAGAACTGATCCATATTTTGCCTGCTGCCTAAGAGATGACTAAAAGCAAGAATAAAACAATTGGTTGGCAAACATTGGGTATATTATCAAGAAATAATAATTTCAAGCATAAACAGCACTGAACTGTAATGTAGTATTTCTATTTGGCTAATGGTGCTTGGATTGCTTTAAATTGTGAGGTCAAATACAGGGAGACAAACCAATATGTATCTTTTTAAAAGCCTTCCTATTTGAATTGAGACAAACTTCCTTTTTTAAAAACAAATTTTTATATATACTTAATTGTTTATATTTATGTATATATGTATGAGAGGCTTTAGCCAAATCCTGCATGTCTTGGAACATTCAGTATAAATCAAACCTCAAGCAGAGATTTGAGGCCCGATTCTGAAACAAAGAGAGCAAGAGTTTTGCAACCAACTTTGTTGAACACAGACTTAAAGTCTCAGAGCACTGTTTGCAAACAGCAGAAAAGGATTAATAGCAGGAATTTCTTAAAGGAAAATAAAAATAAAGCAAATAAAAGAAGACCAGCAGTAAAAATCTACAAACCTTGCAGGGAGTGGAGGGTCAGCTTTTCCAGCCACTAACCAGGAAGACCTGTGGTAGGCATATCTATATCTTTTATTGTCCACAGGAACTATATCCATTAACACAATGTACTTGGCTTCAGGATCCACTCCCGAGAAGGAAACCCTGATCGTAGGGAACATTCTCCTGAAAGAAAGGCAAATCAGAAAATAAATACATGGATGAAGAAGAGAAATAAAAAAAAGATTCTGAAAAACTGCTAGGATTAAGAATTTTATTTAAACCACCCGAAAAAAAATAAATTATAACATGTATTGATTCTTCTTCAGCATGATAGAAGTTAAATCCCGTGTGTCTCCAATATGCAGAGAAAGTGCAGCTTGGAACCAGAAGGATTTTTCAGAAGGAAAGAGTAAAAAAGAGAAGTGAAGGAGAAATTTACTTTTGCCTGTTAGTTAAAAGTACACAACGATTTCAGAAAATAGTTGTGCCTGAGCTACATAAGTCCTTAGAAACATGGATTTTTATTTTTTCTTTTTAACGGGATTCATACGAGAATTAGGGAAATATTGCAGAAAACATTTCTGTTTATATCCTCACGTTTTGGATTCATGTTCTTTTAAGTCTGCTCACGGTATTCGTGGGAGAAATTTTCCAAACTCAACTTTCTTCATTTACATTCTGACAAAACACAGCCTTAAAAACGTAACATTTTGCCACAGACCAGAAATAAAGTTAAAGAACTTTAAACAGTTTAAAACGTTGAACTTGAAATTGCCGAATTTATACTTTTTTTGTTTGCTTTTATATATTTTATATATATATATATATTTAACGCATGCTAGTTAGGAAAAAAAAAATACTATCAGGGACCTACATTAAGAACAAGTAACTGGGGATTACAAAACCCGACAAAACATTTGGCTTCTCCTGCCTTGCCTTTGCCTGACCCTCGCTGAAGAAACGGCGTGCTCTGGGGTGACCAGAAAGCCCGGCATTCTTGTGCACATTATTTGCAACCGAGAGAAAACCAAACCGAACCCAGCCCTGCCCGAATTACTACCCCGCGACCCCGCACTTCCCTGTGTCTCTACCAGCCGCTCCTCCCAAAATCACTGCACCGCACGAAGGAGCCGCCAGCCACAACCCAGATGATGAAGGCAACGAACGCTCCCCCTCTAAGGCCGCTTTATTGAGGCTTCCCATAGGGGCCCCGGGGCTGCCCCAGCCTTACCTCCCGGATTTGGTGATGATCATCTCGGTCCCCAGCTCGTGGAACTTGTCCCAAAGCTCTTTGGTCTCCAGGCTGCAGGAGATTTTAGCCATCTCCTCGCTCGGGATGATAGGGGTGGTGGGGATGAGGGGCTCGGTGCACAGGGACGAGGGGCTGGTGCTAAAATCCCCGTGAGGGTCCAAGCTGGACAAGTCACTCAGGGGCTGAGCGCAAGAGGATTTCTCAACGAATTGTTCTGCAGGGTTTAGGGGGAAAAAAAAAACACACACAAAAAAAATAAAGAGAAGGGATTTACCCAGGACAGTGCGACAGCAGGGAAAAAAACTGTTTTCAAAAAACCAAACCATCACACCAAAACAACGACCCAAAACAAAGGGCATTTCTCGTTCAGCCTCTTCCCTCGGGTCCAGCACAACGCCCCCCCCCCCCCCCCGGACACCCC